CAGTGAGCCAGCCCCGCATTCCCGGTCTCCTTGGTGGGCGAGGAGGGGGTCTCTGGTGCGCCACCACCAGCGTCCAGCCACTGCCACCCTGATCCCCGTCCCTGGCGGGCACCTCCTCCTTTGCAGCGACTCCCGCCGCAACTGCTGTCTGGCTCGGCGCCCCAAGGGTTGCTGCACGCGGGGATTGGGGCCAGGCCCATCACCCCTCCTCCCCTCCCTCCTCCCGAGGCGCCGATCAGCTGTTTGCTTTGCCATGATCCGTTCCCCAAGCAGGGAACCGATCATCGCAAAGCGAAATTCCCCCATAGGGAACATCGGAAAGCGATCGCAAAAGCGATCGCAAAATCTTCATCGCAAAGCGATTTCATCGTTATACGATGCAATCGCTATGCGAGGCACCACTGTAATTTAAATCAAAATCCACTCTGGAGGGTGGAGGCCTGACACCAGGGCAAACCTGTTCACAATCAAGACAACAGCTTCACTGAACGTTTCACAAACCATCATCCGTGAGTGAGAAACTTCTTCTGGCATGAACCCCCAAAAGATTGGCCCTCGGCTATTTCACACCTCCCAGGGTCTCATATCAGAACAATCCCTACTGAAGCTTGGCCCATGCTCGGAGAGTCACCCACGCAGGGCCTTTCCCGCATGTGGATCTTCTTGTGTCTATCAAGAGATGTTTTCCGTGTGTAGCTTTTCCCACACTCAGAGCACTGGTGGGGTTTTTCTCCTGTGTGCGTTCTCCAGTGTCTAATAAGGTTCGATTTCCAGCTGAATCTTACCCCACAAGCAGGGCACCGGCAAGCTTGCTCTCCGGTAGGGGCCTTCTGGTCTATCATGGAGGAAGCTCTCTGCCTGAGGCACCGGCCACAATCCAAAGGGCACCGGTGCGGATTCTCGCCCTGGTGGTTCTTCTTGTGTGTCAGGAGGTCGATCAGGTGAGAGAAGCGCTTCTCGCAATCCGAGCACTGATAGATCTTCTCCCTGATGTGGGCTCTCTCGTGGGCGACCAAATCTGAACTCTCTTCAAAACACTTCTCGCAGTAAGAGCACGAGTAGGTTTTGGGCCCTTCTGTTGGTATTGTCTGATCCTCAGCCTGATCAGGGCTCAGAGGGAGGATTCTTCCCACACACGCTTGGTCCCGCTTTCCTCTCTTGTTGCTCGTGAGCTCCTCAAAAAATGCCCACCTAGGTTCTCTTTCAACACCTTCCTCACAAAGCAAAGCGACACTGGGCTCTCTGTCCAGCAGGCTTCTGGTCTCCGGCTGAAATCCACACGCCTCCTCCATTTTGGGGCTCCGAAAACACTTTCCTTTCTCTTTCCCCAGAGAAGCCCCGCTGGGATTTGTTCTCTCCATTCGTTCTGGCCTAAAGTTCTCTTGGGGCTCAAGCAAGTGGCTGCCACTTCCTGATGCTAGGAAAGAAACAATGACATTTGTTTACTTATAGATCCTGATAAATCACACAAAGCTTGGAAAAGTCCCTTTTTAAAATAACAAATGCCATAATCCCCCAGCCTGGTGGCCAGACTACCTAAAACAACTCTAGGAGTTGGCAGTCCATAAATAGTTAACTTTTCCAAGCGACAAAACCCCTTCTACCTAAAGATTTCAGCACAGTTTATGAAAATGATTATAAACACACAAGGGTTGGGAACCTGTTGGCAGAGCTGCATGTGCGTAAGGCTGATGACATCACCAGCCACAGACTGCCATCTTTAAGTTTCCTCTCTCCAAACCTCAAGTTCTGAGGCTCCCTAGGGATCCCTTTCAACTTGAGGAAGCCTTTGGGAGCCTCAGGATGAGGAGAGTGTGACGATCACCCCACGTCATTCATGCCATTCATAGTCATGAGCTGATCTGCATGAGTCTATGAGAGGAGTGGAGAGTCGGAGTCAGCAGCTACATGAGGTTTGGCGAGAGAAGGAGGAGTCAGATAAGGGCTGGTTAGTCAGAGAGAGGGAACAGATACTGAGTGATAAGGCTGGTAAATAGGTAGAGAAGGTGGTAATGATATTGCAAGGGAAAGGAAGTACTGTATTTTTTCGTGTATAAGACACCCCCATGTATAAGATACCCCCACTTTTGTAATCTAAAATTAAGAAATCTAAGTGGGGCTTAGCAAGTGTAGGGGGAAAGGGATCAAAGTGCTGCAGGATCGCTTTGATCCCTGCTTTCCCCTCCACTTGCTTTTGTTCTCTCCTCAGCTTACTTCCGCGTATAAGACAACCCTCAATTTTTAGTCTAAAGATTTTAGACAAAAGTATAATCTTATACATGGAAAAATACGGTATGTACTGAGAGGATTGTTGATAATTTGCTTGTGTATAATGTGTACCTGAAGGACTTCTGTTATTATTCAATCTGCTTCACTTCAATAAATAAGTTCTGTTTGTGTTCACAAGTCAAGTGTCCTGACAAACGTCATTTATATTGTGGATTGAGGTAATCCACTGGTGACAGCGAGAGGAAAATGTGACGGGAGCCTTTCTGAGGGCAAAACAAGCAGGAGCCACAAGGGTGAGCGCCACAGAGAGTGTTCAATGTCCCAAAACACCAACCACCAGGACCAGCAGGGAAGACGCTGGATGCATTCCAACACAATGGAGCGCTAACTGAATCAGCGCTAAACAGGGCAGTTTACCAAAAACTGCAGAATTTCCAGAAGCCCAGCCTCCCTCCAACATGGAGTGGGTAGACTGGGAGCCACATCCCCACTGGAGGCCCCATTTCCCTCCTTTAGGTAGACCAAGCTCCTGCTGGGCACCACAAAATGGACACCCAAGCATGGACCGAGAACAGATCAATATTGTGCAAGGCCACGTGACGCAGGGTGTTCCCATTCTGAAGCAAGAAGTATGGCATCTCACCTTCTCTCCTTGGCCACCACTGGAGATCAGAGCTCCCCTTTGAAGAGGCCTGGAAGGCCATCGCACGATACTTCAGGGAGGGTTGAGGGGGCGCCTGTCCTGAGAGGAGGGAGACCGCCATCGTCAGGAAGGACAGGAACTGATCCTCCCACTCCCCCTCTAAGCTGCCGGCTGGATTTTGCCCAAGTTCCGGCTGAGCCGGACTCTTCTCTCTGTCCGCACCACCATGCAGGACAACAGGCCCATCTTGTTCCTCCCTCTCCGTTCTCTGCCACGCTTGGTGAGCTGCGGTTGAGTCCTGTTCCTCCATATTGATTCCTGGGGGCACCTCCTGAACTGGAAAGAAAAACAACGCTAGTGGGAATCTGTTTGCTTTCACCTCGGCAATTTGTTTTTCCTTAATTCTGCTCCTGGATTAGACAACAGTATCCGTCTTGAAACGGTTGCCTGAGCTACAGGCTGACTTGGAAGCCACCGGCTGGCCCAAGAAGGCCCACCACCCCCTTTTAGGCTTCTGCGGGCATTGCAAAACCCAGAATTCCTGCAAGATACGACGAGGAGAGTCAACAAGTCCCTGCTTTGTGGATCCAGATCTTGCTTCCATGTCATCCTGAGGCTGGGAGGGGGTCACTGGGGTAGCCATCCCTGGAAGGGATCATTAACCATCCTTTCACAGGATAAGGTCCCCACACACTTAGAGGAGGGTTTGCTTGGATCATGGGTATCGTATGCAGCGAGGAACCCACACACCCTAAATGCTGACAGAGCTGCTTCTAAAAGCTGGGTTACTAGGCAGCTGGAAGCCATCTGTGGCTTTGGAATGCTTGTTGAACACCAGTGGAGCCAGAGGTTGGGAGCAGAGTCCAAAATCAACTCAGGAGTCATGAATGGATGATCCTTGTCTAAAATCGCTGTGCTGTCATGAACCTGATTGTAGGACTGCTAGATGATGGGCTGGGCTGGGGTGGGGGGAGGAATAAGAGTAAAGCAAAGCCAAAAGCTAAGTGTGCTGCTTATATACCATCCCTTGGTGCTTAAAGCAGTCTCTGGGCAGTTTACAAATTAATTATACAGCCTGTACATTTCAAGCACACCCCCAGCAAGGGTGGCATTCAGTTTACCAAATTCAGAAGGATGGAGGGCTGAGTCAACCTTGGGCCAGCTACCCTGAGCACATTGGGATCAAACTCGGGTCATAAGCAGGGTCTTGACTGAAATTTAACCCTCGTGCCATGAGGGGTACGTATAGGTAAAATGAACAACAGCATTCCATCATTATATATTGTTTCATAAGGACAACTACCATAAAAACAGAAAACAAGCTAAGCCAGTTAAGACGTGAACTTGGGGAAAGAGAGAGAGCGAGGGAAGGTGATGGCCATTTTTAGAAAGATGGGAACTGCAATATTAGCTCTGCTCGGCTGTCATCATAGTTTTGATTCAACCCAAATATTTTGATTGTTTAAATAAAAAAACCCTTGAAAGTTCAGGAGTACGCTGTTTTTCAGACAGAAGCCAAAGCTTCCCTCCTCCTACTGGGAACATTCTATTCTGTATAGTTCTGTCTAGGAGATGCCGTTCTGTCCCTTCAGCACTGCCTGGAGGCTGTACTGGAATGGATGCAGGAGAACGGGCTGAGGCTGAACCCGGACAAGACGGAGGTACTGAGGGTGGGCGCCCCCACAATAGGGGATTAACATCCCTGTAGAGCAAATTCATCGCTCTACAGGGCGCTCGTTGTGAGAGGCACCACTGTATATTGTTTCATAAGGACAACTACCATAAAAACAGAAAACAAGCTAAGCCAGTTAAGACGTGAACTTGGGGAAAGAGAGAGAGCGAGGGAAGGTGATGGCCATTTTTAGAAAGACGCTAACTGCAATATTAGCTCTGTTCACACGGTTATGCTGGGCTGTCATCATAGTTTTGATTCAACTCAAATATTTTGATTGTTTAAATAAAAAAACCCTTGAAAGTTCAGGAGTACACTGTTTTTCAGACAGAAACCAAAGCTTCCCTTCTCCTACTGGGAACATTCTATTCTGTATAGTTCTGTCTAGGTATGAGTGTCAGGATAAGTGCTTATGCTTGGTTTTCCAGATTTAAAACTCCCTACCGTCTGTAAAGGAGCTGGCTGAATAGCTCTGTGATTTAAGTCTCTGGCTGCAGAGCCAGATATTGCGTGTTCAAATCTCCCACTGCCTTCTGGGAGAAGAGCTTGCCTGGGCAGCCTTGGGTGAGCTGCACAGTCCCAGGGCTCCCCCTAGAGGATGGGAAGAGTAAACCACTTTTGAGTATTCCCCACCTGGAAACCCTAAGTCAGAATTTCCTTGATGACACACAATTACATTGATAATTACCAACTGCAAAGAGGAAATGCCTTTCTTAAGGCTAAGTTACTGGCAGCAAGACTTCAAAGATAAAATGTTCTAGTTGGGTGAAAAATGATGGGGATTTCAGTCCACATCATCTGGTGGGTCACCCATCCTCCAATCCTGCTTTTGCCCCTACTCAACACAGAGAAGAAGGATATACTTACCCAGAGAGACAAACATCCTATAATTCTCCATCATGACTTCCTGGTAGAGGACCTTCTGGCCTGGATCCAAGAGAACCCACTCCTCTTCAGTGAAATACACAGCCACATCTTCAAAGGTCATAAGGATCTGGTTAAAGGGGAGGGGGAAGGACCACTTCAGGAGAGCATTCCCCAGCCTGACACTTTCCAGATGTGTGCAACTACAAATCCTATTATTCTCAGCCAGAAGTCTGAGGGTGGTGTTTATACAGATGTGACACTAAGTCAGAATTTACTTGACGACACACAATTACATTGATAATCACCAACTGCAAAGAGGAAATGCCTTTCTTAAGGCTAAGTTACTGGCAGCAAGACTTCAAAGATAAAATGTTCTAGTTGGGTGAAAAATGATGGGGATTTCAGTCCACATCATCTGGTGGGTCACCCATCCTCCAATCCTGCTTTTGCCCCTACTCAACACAGAGAAGAAGGATATACTTACCCAGAGAGACAAACATCCTATAATTCTCCATCATGACTTCCTGGTAGAGGACCTTCTGGCCTGGATCCAAGAGAACCCACTCCTCTTCAGTGAAATACACAGCCACATCTTCAAAGGTCATAAGGATCTGGTTAAAGGGGAGGGGGAAGGACCACTTCAGGAGAGCATTCCCCAGCCTGACACTTTCCAGATGTGTGCAACTACAAATCCTATTATTCTCAGCCAGAAGTCTGAGGGTGGTGTTTATACAGATGTGACATGGTGGATTTGATTTAAATCATGATTTAAATTTTTAAAAAGGATTTTATTTATATATTTTTAAAAATCGATTTGTATGTCTAGATGGACGGCATATAAATG